CTCTGGCTGCAGCACAGTGATGAGGAGCCTAACGAAGGACAGTGCCTGCATCTTCTTCTTAGGGATGTCATATCTTCTTATGCTACGTTACAGTACCAGTATAGCTATGCTTTTGATTGACTTTATCACAAAAATGACTGCATTTGCTGTTGTCCTTAGGCTCTAGCTTCTGAATCGTAAGACCAAGGCTGTAATTCTCATTGATTCCGGAGATAAATCAGAGAGACAGCACAAGGACCCACATTTCTCATTAAAACAAGCAAAGGTGATATTTAAAGCCTACAATAACGTTGAGAGATCTGCACTATGATTTTGAATATTTCTTATCAGCAGTATTGAGCATTGCAAAAAGAATGAAGACATGGTTCTAAAGCCGTGCTCTTTCGGGTGTATGATACAGCCAGAAGCTTTGATGTTGTTCTTTAGTAGGTTTTCCTTACTAGGGAATGGTAAGAAAAATGTAGGAAAATGTACCAAAGTTGTTAGCAGTGTTTTACCAAGAATTCCAGTCCACCTGAGTCCTGAATTTGATCCACTCTGGCAGTTTCTGTGTTCCCAAGATACAGGGGGAAAGGCACAATGGTTTTTTTTTCATCCTCTTTCTGTAATCAGCAAAAAGTCAGCCAAACATTTCTAGTCTCGTCCAGGAAACATCCCTGATAAGTACAACATTTAAGCACTTAATGAGCAGGACTAATGCACATGGCTAAGTTTAAGGATATTTTGAAGTGCTGTGCTTTGAATCTGAGCTGTAGAGTAGATGATTAAAGGCAAACAGCAAACATTTATGAATTTCTGGACTCATATATATATAAACTATGTAATCTGCAGGCTTGGATTCACTTGTGGGACGTTATTAACTTCCATCTTCTTTTGGTTTGGTTTGTCCAAAGCAATGCTGCATCTTGTCTGCTTTTTTTCAACCCAGCACACCAGACACCATGAGCTAAAGCCAAACTGCAGTATGATGTGAAAGTTGGAGATGGGATCCCTTGGGTGAAGTCCCATGCTTACACACCTGTGTATGGTGTGGCCAGCAAACAAAATGTTTATGTCACGTGAGCTAATGCAGAGCAAGGAGTGTGTGTTCAGAGCTGTTCTTTATGTCACACGCGAGTTACCTGTCTAAACTCTTGTGCATGTAGACGTAGGTATTCTACAATAAGGAAGTAAAAAATGTGGAAGGAGGCTTAAAAACCAAGGGTGAATGGGCAAAGAGATGATGATTGAGAACTGTTAGTGCAGTTTAGGGAACACTGTGAAAATTTATCACAAACATTTACAAAAGATAGGATCTAAATTATATCAAGTGGATGTGTGTTGTTTCTTTGCTTATGCCTTCATCTGCATTATCAGTTTAGATCAGAAATGGTTCAAGGTGCCAAGCACACTTTTAGTTTACTGCTGTTGTCAGTGCTGACTTCTTCACCAAGTGCTTAACTTTTTGGGTTTTTTGCTGAAACACACCAAAATGGGGCAATTGCCTGAGAATCTCGGTTGCTGTTCTCAAGTAAAGTTCATTTCTAGCTCTCCATCATGGAGATAGGCTTGAAAATTTGACCTTTGAAGTGATAAGTATCAGAAGAAAATAAAAAGAACCTGATACATATTTCAATAATGTAATTATATTTCATTGTCTTATGAGAGTTTGAGGCAATTCAAAGAGGTATATGTAGGTGTTTGAGATTGCTAGCACTGGTTTCCATATCTTAACAGTTCTAATTTGTTTTTAGGTAATTTGGGAAAGATGCTTCTGAGACAAAGTAGCTGGTAGGAGATAAGAGCAGGCATAAGGAGCCTGAAATTTGCCCAGCAGCCATCAGTAGTTGACAGAATTTACTTTGTCTCTTCATTGCTATGGCTAAATTTTAAATGAAACGGCATCACTGAAGTATCTCTGTTCTTATATAAAATAGATTATAATTCCATATGTATTTGGTGATGTGTGGAGATTTGTGTGTTTATTGCTTATTACTGCATTTTTATTCTATTCCCTTTTTCTTGTTTCTCATTTTGAGACTCTTGTCTCATTTTCTTTAGGTTTGGGAGATTTTGTTTGTCAGCTTTTCCTTTTTCAGATTTGTAGCATTTGTTTCTTTCATTTCTTGACGCAAATGCTGCAGTCGCTTGAAGTGTGGCTTCAAGTAGTCCTTTGTGTGACTAAAAGAAATTAACTAAATAGCACTGTTTAATTAATTTCAGGACCGCCTCTTTTTCGTCATGGAATATGTAAATGGAGGAGACCTAATGTTTCAAATCCAACGTTCACGCAAATTTGACGAACCTCGATCCCGCTTTTACGCAGCAGAGGTCACATCAGCACTCATGTTTCTTCACCAACATGGCGTCATCTACAGGTACTTTTTTTTTGTCAAAAATAAAGTATTCTTAAGGCTTGGGGCTGATTTTGGCTGAATCCTCTGTCTCTTAGCAACCAGATTTAGATTAGTTGTTTGTTCCAATTTGCTTACATAGAACTTTTTTTGGCTGTTTATCACTGAGAATGTTAACATTTGAATAGCCTCTGCAGCAGTCGCCAGCTGTGTGTGCCAGTTTTGTGTTATAGTCCAAATAAAGCGGTTTTGAAAAAGCTTGGCACAGTGCGACCCAGAGGTGACCTCTCTGCACAGCAGCGCAATCTCTTCACTTTCCTCACTGTGCCATGGGTTTCCTCTCAGTTTCTAACTCCCTGCCCCTTCCTGAGTTTGTTTGTCCTGGCTGTCTCCACTCCGATACAATCAGGGTGGTCGTTCGCAACGCTTTACTTATGCCCCTTCCTCTTGACTGTCTGGGTGAAGGCTTGCTCACCAGCAGGAAGGGGCTCTTTGCAGACAAGTTTGATTTGCTTGCAAGTGGCCCACCTCTGTTTGAACCTCCGCCCCCCAAAAGCTGTAATTGTCAACACCCATGCACACACACCAAAAAAGTGCAGATTGTTGTGCTGTGTCGAAGCATGTATTTAGGTATAGGCTTTTATTATTAAAAGTGAGGAATCACTTTGAAAATTTTCACCCTGATGTCAATGTATTTATCAAGTTCTTTATCTTGTCATTTCACCCTTCCTCTTTTTTTTTGTCTTTAGCAGCCTGTCATTGCTTGCAATAAATTTGGGCTTTCATAAGCAGAGTGCTTTACAGGTTTTGTGATACAAGTCTATCCTGTCTACTAAAAATTCTGAGTTCTGTGGATCTAATGGAGTTTTGATATTCTCTTGATATTCTCACTCTCAGGTTATCAATTTTCATTTGGGGTAGTTATCTCAGGGGCAGGCAGTTTCATTTTTCTTGAGCAGAAACATCAAGATGAGGATGTGGAATTTGTCACATTACTGGATTCATATTAAGGCTGCTCTCAAGAGTATTAGAAATTGAAAGAAGTGAATTTTAAATGTTTAGTAACCAGGACTGAATGCTGACTTCCATCAGAGACCATTAGCTTTCCCATCAACTGGGATTCGAAGAGAAACTTCTCAGAGGAGGAGTCTCCTTTCCAGAGACATCGCAAACAGCAGGACATTGCATCTTCTGAGGAAAAGAAATTTCTCTGAAACTGGTCTTTCAGTCAAAAATCTGGTTTTCTTTCGAAAACTTTTTTGCTAGCTGCAGCTCTTAATTTCCATCTTTTATTAACACTGGTGTGATGTTTGCATATTGGATTGGACTTTCAGCCTTACCACTTTGCATAGGTTTGTTTTCAAGTGCTGAAGATCCAAAACATTTGTTACTTTTGCTGCCCATATCACATTTCATATTGTCTGCATTTACTTCCAAAGCTATGTGTTCATACAGTTAAACGGTAGAACATGGCAACTTCAGAATTTGTAAGTATCCGTCATAAGGAAAACAGATAACATTGGTACTTTAAAAAGTGAAGGATTTTGAGGATTTCTTTCCATAAGAAGTCTTGAGCTGATTTCCTCTTCCTGAAAACTGGAGTTTAGACACTTTGTAATTAGCAGTCAGTTTAGTGATTTCTGTGAACCAGCAAGAAAGAACAGGTAAAATTACCTTCCCCCTTCTTTATATGAGGGTGCATTCATTCTTCCCCCCCTGCTCCCATCCTTTGACACTCATCCTCTTCTCTTTCCTCTCTTTACTCCCTCTTTTCCCTTGTCTTATGTGTACATTCTGCTGTGTGTTGGCTCCTGGCTGCATTGAATCACTTCATGTGCCTATGTTGTTTCTGTGACATTTTATCATCAAAATGCTTCGATCCCAATAGAAATGTCATTCTGATGAGACAAGTCTTTGTAATTTACACTTTGCAAGATAACTCTCAACTTCTGATTCAGAGATTATGCTGATACATCTTTGGCATGCTACAGTAAAACACTGAAATTGTAAATGCCATGTTATATTGGGTGTATTGTCAGAAGAGGCAAAAGATGAGAAATAACATGAGTTGTAGGATGAAAGCAGAATCTAAAAGCAACAAGAACAACGTTAGGAACAGATTTAGTTGTATTCTGCTTTCACACAGTCTTTTGGATCTGTGAGAAGATCTCGTTTTCCCAAGCGGGATACTAGGAGCTTCAACAATTCATAAAATGTATATCCCAGTTACTCTGCAAAATACAAGTAGAACGAAGAAGTTAGAGATTGTCTTAAAATAATGAATCGTAAGAAAATGTCACAATTCATTCATAGTGTGCCAGGCCCTGGGAGAATGCGTTTGTTGATTTCAAGCAGATGTTAGAATAGTTGTCTCGCACAGAACAGTTTCAGCCTGATTATTCCGTACCTCACTGCATCATTTATTACAGTGTTAAAAATGCACTGGGATCAAGTCACTCCTTTACATCTCCGAAGCTCTTATTAGTTGGCAAACAAGGAAAGGAAAGGGGGGAAAAAAAAGAAAAAAAGGAAACCTGTGCTCCTGAATAACTACCAGTCATAACTACCTGACATGCCTTCAGATATTTTAATAAAGAGTACTTGTCTTCTGTGTAATTATATTTCTAGAAAAAACATTGCGGTGTGAAATTAATGGTTATTCTCCAAAGTGGGAAATGCTGCTTGTGTGGGCAATACTTCAAGGAAAGTGGGGAATATATAAATAAACTAAGATGTTTTATGGAAATGCAGGTTTCAAAATAGCTGCTATACCTTCTGATCTTTTTTCAGCCATGTATGTGGAAGTATTTGTTTGGAGCTAAACACAGTTATATTTTTGGAAGTAAATAACTAGCTTTAGCTCATGCTTTGGCTTGTTGGTTAGATTTTTAGAAAGTGCTGTGATGATACTAAATGATCATCTTTTATAATAACTAGTTTATCCTCATTTCCCCTGAAGTTGAAAGAGAAAGCTAGCTCCCTGTATGGCAATAGATATTATTCTGTAAGCTCACAGCTTTGCAACTGGCCCAACAGTTGTTCCCAGACTTGTCCAATTATCTGTGTGCTCACTGGAATTACGTACCTTCCTTTTGTTTATCAAGTTAATTTGGAAATGAAGATGAACCTCACAACTTTTATACATAAAGATGCTGCTGTTACTAACTGCAGAGTGTATGACAGATAAACTTTAGGCTAATTTTCAGTGTGGCATTTTTAGGGGTATAATGTTACTGTTGTTGTGTCAAAAACACTTCAACAACTTAACAAAAATATTTGCATTAGCCCTGCCACCTTCCCTCTCTTCTGGCATTCAGCTATTCAGGCACATGTCAAGCTGGGGCCTGATAATACAAGTACAGTCAATCAGACACTAGAGAAGTTTCAGTCGCAGTTTCTGGCGGTCGTCGTTGTTTGTGTTATGCAATTGCACCACTTTGAAAAAATGTATCCAAGGTTCAGGAATTAAGGGCTAGACTATGAATCTCATTTTGCCTGTGAGCTGAACTGGACTTCAAACTCGGTGATGAAAGTTTGTGGGCTGTGTTCACTGTCACCTGTCTCTGGCTGGAGTCTGGTATATTTAAAGTCAGCTATCATCACCTTAATATATATTCTGATATAGGGAAGATGCAACAAACCGGGTGTTAAGGAACTGCCAGTTCCATACTCCCCTCTTGTACTGACTTTCAGCATTCCTGTGCGCTTTCTGCAGATACATGTAAATATTACCTGTTCTTGTTTCACCTGCAGTCGTTGGGCTGAGGACAGGAGTACCTGGATGGGTGTCTCTGGCTCTCGTGGTAGGAGTTCAAGTGAGGTGACACAAGTGGCCCACTCTGGCCTGAAATACGTACAAAGAACTGTTGTTTCCCCAGGCAGGGACGTCAGCACTAGAATGGGGTACCACTTCATTACCATAAACGCCAGTGTCCCCAGTTCATATTTGGTTTAGGGAATGACTGTGTGAGCTACAAACTTTGTTTCAGTGAAGACCTGAACGGTCAGCAGTTGCATGTTGCATGGTCTCTGGCATGCTCCAAGACCATCCAAGTGATTAAATGGGGTGCTCTCTCTGAAACACCGAAGAAGGAAACTGAATGTACACAATTTCAGTTCACCTGAGAGGATGAAAAGTATCTTAACTGGGAAATTAGTGGCAGCTGCTTTGGGTTAACTTATTCTTTTGGTTTTGCATGTAAGGTCTGTGAGATGTTGCCTTCAAATCGTACAGCACCTGGTCACAGGGGAGTCCTCATTCAGAGCTATGAATTATCATGGTCCTCAGCAATATGAAGTAATAATCCAGCCTGTAACTTACTGCAGCTTTCTGAGGCTCTGTGCACTATGTAATTAGTATGTTGGTCGTGATGAAGGATGTGTTAACACTGAACGCGAATATAAATATGCTGATGCCAATCCTTGTATACCTCCGGGCTCTTTCCATACACAAATACCCTGAGAACTTGTCTGAACACCAACTGAATTTTTCCTTGGATGATCAGTTTTCCTGGCATTCCCATTTATCAGGGCAACATACACCAGTGTTTCAGAAAGAGCTGCCTAAAATTAAAAGCACTTTCATTAGTGTGTTTTTATGTGAAAGAAGAATATTTAGAAAGTCTGACTTCACTGGTGGTTGTATGATTCAGTACAACCTTGGCAGAGTAACGAGGAGTTATATTTACACTGATGAAAATGTTGCATGGTCAGTGGTTAACATGTTAAAAGTCATCATTCTCCCAAGTTACCGTACTGTGTTATTTCTGAGTGGCAGCAGCCAAATAAAATTCCCCTCCCTCCTGTTTTTTTGGCTTTTTAAAATACAAAACTAGACATGGTGCATTTTGATTTAAATTTGGTTTTAAGTGTGTAAAGATCATGTTATTGCAACTCTAAAGAGTTAAAGGTTAAATTGCTGCTTGAGCTATGGTCCATGAAGGAGGGTGAGAAGGACCTCATACTCTCACATAGCATATTCAGACATAGGCACGGGAATATCGTGAATTCAAGCCCTTACCCAC